GACAGTGTATGTCCTTCAGGGCAGCTTTGGCAGAGAGGGCTGTGGAGTCCTGGTGACCAAACCCAGGGCCGTGCAAAACCTGACCCCACTGGCCATGAGGGGCCCAGGCTGGACTGGCAGATGGATTTGGAAAGGCAGCTGACTTTGGATGCTGGAAAGCCAGGGCAGGACATACACCTGAGTAACTCAGGGAACAGAAACACTGAGCTGGGAAAACCCACTGCAGGAGGGACACAGAATCCCAGAATACGCTGGGTTGGAAGGGACCCACAAGGATCATCCAGTCCAACCCCTGGCCCTGCACAGGCCCATCCCCAAGAGTCACCCCCTGTGCCCCAGAGGATCAGCCAAACCCTCCTGGAGCTCTGGCAGCCTTGGGGCTGTGCCCACTGCCCTGGGGAGCCTGGGCAGTGCCCAACCAGCCTCTGGGGGAAGAACCTTTTGCTGAGATCCAACCTGAGCCTGCCCTGACACAGCTCCAGCCACTCCCTGGGTGCTGTCCCTTGTCCCCTCAGAGCAGAGCTCAGTCCCTGCCCCCTGAGCTCCCTCAGCTCCTTTCCCACCACCCAGAGGACACAATTCCTTCAGCAATTCCCTTGTGAGCCAAAGCCACTCCAGCCCCAGGTCACACCAGGCAGCAATTCCTGCTGGTGTCACTGAGCCAGCCCAGCCACGGGCCCAGCACCCTGCCCAGGGCAGGACCACCGTGCTGGACCCAGCCCATGCAGCTCCTGGGATGCAGCATTTTCCAGAGCCTCAGTTTGCCACCCTCACATGACCAACCCTGCACATTCCCTGCAAAACTGAAGGTGAAGAAAAAACACGTTAAGCTCCTAATGGCAGTGCCCAAAGGTACTGCATCTGAAGATAACATCAGGAGAGAGAGCCAGCGAGTTCTCTTCACACAAACTATTTCCCAGAGGCTAATGGCAAGGGGGGGAGAGAGAGAAACAAGTACTGACAGTTTACTGTAGGAGCTCAAAGAAAAAGTGGACAAAGCTAAAAGAACTCCAGCTCTTTGTTCACATTTAATCCAGTTCAGAGCATTCACTGGTGCATACAGATTTACTGATGGAGCTGGATATGGTCATTTGGTAAGAAACAGAGGATCTAGGATTTAAATTTTGTGCCCTTCAGGCTCTTACATTTTAGGAAAAGTCAGTCTGTAATGTATATAAAGTTTTAATCTAACGTAAAAAGTATGAGCTGCTGGATAATTCCTTCAAAGAAACCAATCCTGATCTTGAAAGGTAAAGAACACTTTCTGTTTTTAGCACAGACCAAGTTTTTAAGGGGTAGGGCACTGCTTTTGGCTCACAGAAACCAAGGGATAGACCAAGGCTTGCTGGCCCTACCCAAAGAATCCCCTATTGTATTTTCTCCTTTTTCTTTGCAACTCTCTTCCTGAATTTGTAAAGGCATCGATTTATCAGAGGATACTGGAATAATGGAACAGTATGAAAATACCACCATCCACATATTTTATTGCAAAACAAATAGTCCAAGCGCCTGATATCACAGTACAACACAACTATCCATTGCAGGCCTTTGCTTTTGCTGAGGACAGACAGTTCAAGTTCCATGTAGCCTGTTTTCTGAAGGCTGGAGAGTCAGTTCATCTCTGGCTGAATTTGCAAACCATGGTATTGAAAGGCAGCACCAGTGAGGAGGGTATGTGTGCAAGAACAGAACCAACAAAAGGGGTTGTGAGCCAAAGGTAGGAGGCAAATCTGGAAGGGAAAGCTCAATTGCAGAGTGCAGGGGACCTAAATGGGGCAGGTGTGTTGGAGAGATTTTGGCACAGCATGTTGGAAGTGCATCTCCCACAAGTGCAGAGAGAAAGGGAGGGGCAGCCAGTAAATTTCAGGAAAATATGAAAATCATAAACGAAAAACTGAACAATAAATGTAGCACGGAGTTAAAAGCCAAAACTCCTTCTCGTCCCTCTGCCCCTTCCCACCCCCCTCCGAGCATTTCTGGTCCCCTGGGAAGGACCCCTGGCACTTGGGCTCAACAGGCGCTGCACAAACTCCTCCCGTCCAGACAAAAGCGGATCTTTTCCTCCAGACTGGCCGTGCCCAGCCTCGCCGAGCCCTGGAAAGCAGCGGCTGGTTGTGTTTGGCACCGTGTCCCGGAGCAGGGAGCAGCACGTGAGACGAGCGCTGGCTCAGCTCTTTCCGCGGCGCTGCTCGATCCCGCCGAGGCTGCCGGCTGAGGATGGATGGGAATGAAATAAACCGAAAGGCAATTTAGGCTACTTAACTACACTTGAGGAAAAAAAAAAAAAACCTGCCTGGATAGATGACACATGATGTATTCTGTATTAATGTTTCAAGTCAGTTTGGCGGATCCCCATGGCAGGCGAGTTAGAAATATTTTGTTGCAAGTTTGAACACCGTACCAGGATATAAGGCCAGGCAATTCTACAAGAACAGTGATTGAATTAGGGCTGAGAAATGTATCCTGGCTAGTTTCAAATTAAAAAAAAAAGAAAAAGAAACAAAAGCTTTTAAAAAGGTACAAATGAGGCTAAAAGAATTTATGTTATTTTTCCGGTTTCTGTGCTCTAACTCCTTTTCCTCGTAGATCTCCTCATCTATCTTCGAAGTGCACTACCTTATGAATGAGTGAGCAATAAAAAGAAGTATGCAGTGGCTGAGAGAGAAACTCAAGATAACAAGATAAAGCCAAAGCTTGAGCAGAACTGCAAGTTAAGATGTAGATCTGAATATAAAAGTTTCTCACATCTCAGTTTTAGGGCAGTCATTAGATAGTTTGCATGAGAAATTAATTTAAAGCCAGTAGCATATACTAAGTTCCCAACTATCAAAGTACTGGACCCATGCTGTCTAGGGTTTTGAATCCTGCTTTTGGACCACACGTAGGGACAATTTGCTCATAAACTAAAGTAAAAACAGAGCGATTTCATAGAACCAGAAAATCACAGAATCACAGGATGGTTTGGGTTGGAAGAGATCTTAAAGGTCACCTCATTCCACCCCCTGCCATGGGCAGGGACACCTTCCACTAGCCCAGGGTGCTCCAAAACCTGTCTAACTTGGCCTTGGACACTTCCAGGGATGGGGCAGCCACAGCTTCTCTGGGCAACCTGTGCCAGGGCCTCCCCACCCTCACAGGGGAGAATTTCTTCCCAATGTCCCACCCAAACATACTCTTTCAGTTTAAAGCCACTCCTCTCTGTCCTATCACTACATCCCCCTGTAAAAATTTCCTCTCCCCCTTTGGGTATTGGAAAGCTGCCATGAGGTCTCCCTGGAGCCTTCTCTCCAGGCTGAACAGCCCCAACTTTCTCAACCTGTTGTTTTAATACCTTAAAATCCCCATGTTCATCAAAAATGGGCACAGGAAGAGCAGGGAGCAAAGAAGCAGCTACAAATCATCCCAAGGTCAGGCAATAGCAGTTTCTGTGCCCAGGTGACACAGGAACAGCCTCAAGACCAAAAGGTATGAGAAGAATCAACTTCCTCAGTGAAGGCTCACCTGTTTTCTGCTGAAAAAGGCTGGTGTTTGAGTCTGCACAGTGAGTTCTCCAGCTATAAAAGAAGGGTTAATTCAAATTTCCATATCACTGACCTCCCTCCAGCCTTCCAGGCTGCCCAGGTTTGGAACTGCAAGGATCAGCTGGGTTGTCTCAGGGGAAAAATTATGTGGCCACTCCCTGAACCCTGATAATCCCTCTGGCTGGGCTTTCCACTGCTGGTCTCTGCCAGGTTAGGCAGAATTTCATCATCAAAATTATTATGGTCTCTTTCAAGTACAGACCAGTGGGAAATTAATTGCTGGAATCAGGTATGTTTGCTGGTATTAACCCGATGCTGCTGCTGAATGAGGTCAGTTGTGGGGCTCAGGACACAGAGCAGGGACTAAGCTGGTCTCCAGCTTCATTTGGCAAAGCCTGGGCTGGTAAAACAGCAGGAGGGAGAAGATACAGGGACAGAGTTTCAAGGGATGTGAAGGTGGAAGATGAAGCTTGTTATCTTCAAAAGGAAAGTAGTGACAACTCAGGCATAACCATGAGAGACCCCTACAAAGAAGGGAGCATGAGACAGGGTGGAGCAAGCCATGAAGTTGAGGTGTTTAAGATGCTTTTACAGCATTAAAGAGGTAGACATTTTTTAACAAGAATTGATGACAAAACATGAAACCGATTCCTTTACTCTTACCCTTTATGCTCTAAGACAGAACTTGTTTTCTTGCAAAGTAGCTGAGACATTTGTTTGCTCTGTTATCCATGTGACAGGGGGCAAAAATACTTCAAACCCTCCAGAATGTGTGTTTGACCGTGGGTATATCAAAATAATGCTTAGCTTTCAAAACTGGAGCATTAATTTGCACCATTTAGAACAAATGAGGCCTATATTGCTAAATAATAATCTGCTCCATATGTTGATTAATGTGAGACCTACAGGAGGACAAACATTGATAGAGTATCTGCTTGTTCATCTTTTGCACCAACCTATGTCATTTTGAGGTGCAAGAACTGAGATGCAGGACCTCTGTTTACAAAAGTCAGGTTCTGGCACCTACTGTTGCACTCTGAAAGAATTCTGCACGTGGCAGTTCACGTGAAGGTGTGATTTTCTGCCAGCTCCTAATTTCACTGCCATATGCCAAGCATTGCAAGAACAGATAAATCTGAAGCACTGTACAGTCATATCGAAGAAAAGCTGTGGTTAAGGAGGGTCCCATCTTGCCTTTGGGACCTGGACTATGAAATTAGGCAAAGTTATCCTCCCTGGTTAACTCAAAGTGCAAACGGGGAATGAGCTTCACAGGCAGAACTTGGCTGATACTGGTGAGTATTTGCTACCTGGGACAATAGTGTGTCCAGGCAAGCAAAACCCACAGCTTTGGTGGGAATGTGACTTGTGTCTGGTGGCAGCTCCTACTGGAGAGCAAACCCATCCCTGCTTGTCATCCAATATCCATCAAATCCCCCTGCTTTTGTTAACACATCGTTCTTTGTTCTTCTAACACAGATTCTGGAAGAAAACATGAAGTTAGAGTGCAAGTGCCACGGGGTCTCAGGATCCTGTACCACTAAAACATGCTGGACAACCCTGCCCAAATTCCGGGAGCTGGGCTACATCCTGAAGGACAAGTACAACGAGGCCGTTCAGGTGGAGCCCGTGCGGGCGAGTCGCAACAAGCGCCCGACCTTCCTCAAAATCAAGAAGCCCCTTTCCTACCGCAAACCCATGGATACAGACTTGGTGTACATAGAGAAATCCCCCAACTATTGTGAAGAAGACCCTGTCACGGGCAGCGTGGGCACACAGGGCAGGATGTGCAACAAGACAGCCCAGCAGTCCAACGGCTGCGACCTGATGTGCTGCGGCCGGGGGTACAACACCCACCAGTACTCGCGGGTGTGGCAGTGCAACTGCAAGTTCCACTGGTGCTGCTACGTCAAGTGCAACACGTGCAGCGAGAGAACAGAGGTCTATACCTGTAAGTGAGCACGTGGGCACGGCCCTGGCCACGGATACCTTTGCACATGCACTCAACGGACCGACACGAGGCTGCAGGGCAGACCTGCTCTCCCAGGAGAACTGCTGGTGGACGGAGGCCCCTCGTTTCTTCTCACGTTTCATCGCTTGTGTGGATACACATTTCGGACTCATAAAGTCGGCCAAGAAAGAAAACCAAACAAACCCCACCCTGAGCCACCTGACACATAAAAGAGAGAGAAAAAGATCATCTCGGTTAACCTGCACCTCTAAAGGAAGAAGCATTGACTGCCTTGTGGAGACACACCAGTCAGGGAGAAATCTCTGAGGGTGGCAACTGACTCCTGGTTTGGAAAAGAGATGGTCAAATATAAGGAGCAGGGAGGGATAGGGGAGAAATCCCCCCAGAAGGGCTTTGCACAGGATGGGATGGACAGAGCCCCACCGTGTGAGCCTGTGGAGGACACAGGTTTTGGCTTCTACACCCGTGAAAAGCTTCTGCTGGTCTTGCCCATCTTTCCCCTTCATCCCCCTTGCCACAGCGAGTAGAACTGTTGAAGGTTTCTGTAAACACTGCTTTACCTGCCTTTTTCGTGTGTGTGTGTGCTGCAGATTTTAGCACAGGGATTTGGGACACTCGGGCATAATAATAGCAATATTTAACAATTTATTCAGATAAAACTAATATTAATTTATTTAATTAAAAAAAGAACTCTACCAACCTTTGGGGAACTATTCTGCAATTAAAGTAGATAGCTGGCTTTCTTTGTGGAATAATTTTGTAGGAACAGCAAGGAAAGAACTGGAGCTGTACATATTATTCTTAACTAGGATATTTCTATTAGTTGGACTTGCAGGATATGTTCTACAGTACTAGATGTTTAAGTACAAAAGCTGGCATCTTTATATATATGTACATACACAAACACTGTTGTTTTTGGGGTTTTTGTTTGTTTGTTTGTTTTCTCCTGTTTGCTGCTAGTTGTCTGGAACAAAAGTCGAGTGGTAGGGGTTACAAATCTTTACCAGGCTTTGTGGTTATTTTTTTTTTCTTCGATTAAAGAAAGAAGCATTAATAAAATCCTGTTTGGAATATGTCTAAAATTAAGAAAATCCAGACAAACTTCCATCTTTTGGAAAAATCAACCATAGGATAAGAGAGTATATTTTGTAAGAGACTATTTTTATATAAATATTTTATTTATACTACGTCTGCTTGTTCAACCTGTACTTTTTCTCAAAACAGGCATACAATTTGTAATTCTTAGGCTATTTAACAGAGAGAGGGTAATTAGTTTGTGAACACAACAGCAGCAAGCTGGATACATTCAGCTGCAATTGGTGGATGTGTCAGAAAGCAGAATGAACTTTCTCTCCGGATATGTGTACAAACTGGCTCTTTTCCTGCAGCTCAATTTGCAGAATATGCAAAACAAGAACAGGGTATGTAGCATCAATTTTGTCACATGGCTTGAATTCATGATTGGTATTAACTGGATGCTCATTTATCCCATTCAAGAAAAAAAAAATGCGAATTAGCTTCCCACATGCGTCAGTCATTAAACTGTGGCGTTATGACTCGCAAATGTGCTGTGTGTGCTGTCAGTTAAACCTCTATATTGTGTTACTGTCAAATTGCATTTTAATCAGTGGGAGACTGTAGACTGTGACTGTAAAAACTAGCATGACACACACCGTCTGATTCTCATAGATAGGATACAAAGCTTACTTTTTGTCCAACTCTTTTTTGGCATTTACGTTATTCTTTCCTCCCCCACCAAAAAGGCCCGAGCTCAGAAATCCAGAAAAACATCCAGGCAAGTTTAAAGAGGCAAATTTAAAGACTACTCACTTGTTTTTCAGAGCCATTTTGCGTTCCCTTTATGGCATTTCCTTTTTATCACTGCTAATTTCTTCAGACATTTGAGTGGTAAATATTTCTCTGTGTTTTTAGAGTCATTCTGTTCCTGCTGCTTTACTCATTTGTGACCCATAAAAAAAAAAAAAATCTAATTTTACTGTTGTTTTTCACTGGTTAATAAACATGGCCCAGCGTTACTGATGATATTGCAAATTGTCTGGGACACACCAGATTCTTTCCTACTTCCAGACCACAGGATCTCCCCCCTTTAATGAGGCTCAGAGAGGCATCAGTAAAGAAAACATTTCACTGACTCCTGTTGAGAGCAGCAAACATTACAAGGAGTAGATGATACAGGTTTATCTTGTGCCCATTGATAGTTCTGGGGCAAAACTCCCACCTAAGACTGTGAAAACAAAGAACTCAGAAGGGAAGCAGAAGAAACACAAAAAAAAATCAAAAGATGTTGCAGTTTCACAACCTGACCTTTTAGGGCTCATCTGAATGGTGGGGGTTTTTAACTCACTTCTTGTATATATATTATTTTTGTAAGAACACAAGCCTATGCAGTCCCTAGTCCTAGCAATGTATAATCAGGGTTAATACACAGTTTCTTTGCAGACCTGCCACTTAACACAAAATAGAAGGTTTATTCAATTCAGGTACCAGAATGGCATATCAAAATAAAGCTATTAACACAATTTCATTTCAAACTGTCAATATAAAAGCAAATTTTTATTGGTCATTGAATCACTGCTCTGAGTTCTCCTAAATTCCAAGTTATAAACTTCAAGATACAAAATGCAACCACATACAGTAGATATGTTCATTACAACACTATATTATGGTAAAATAATTCAGATGTAACAATTAATATTAGAATTCCCCATCACCACCACTTTGTGGATATCATATCATAGTCAAAAGTGTGCTTTCTTCACTGATTAGAGTTACTTTACAAATTGTTACCTTTACAGCCTGTTTTTACCATAGGAGAGTAATCTGTAAAACTCCTGCTTCCTGTATATTTCTGTATGCAGTGATGTGCCACGTACAGTTAGCAGAATAATTACTGAAGGACAAATACATTTAAACAGTTTTAGTCACAATAATAAAAAACTGGGTGCACAATGAATTGGATTTGGTACACATTTTCCCTACATTTTACAATATTGCTGATGAGAAAATGGAGAGAAAATTAGACAAAACATCAGTTTGTTTGATAGCTTGAGTAACAGGTTGGGAACTGTGAACTAAAGAGCAAGGAAAACCAAATGCTGCATTCAACTAGAAATTACTTGGAAATTTGGCTGTGTCATCTCTGATAGGAGAAATCTGGCCCCTCAGAATGTGCCATGAGTCTGGAGTTAATTGGTCCTTTGCTAAATGGGCTTGAATGACATGAAGAATAAACAGGAGGAGAAAGATTTACAGGTTTGTAGATATTCCTCCCCCCAACAACAGTTTGTTCTTTGTGCTCAGGGATAGAGGGGCTCTGTTTTTCCTTGGTGGAGGAGCACACAATGGCAGGGAAATGCACCCAACTGCACAACAACGGGGCTCTCAAAGGAAAACACATCCCTTGGTCTGTGCCAGCCAGGGAAGTGCTGCATTGCTGGGCACAGAACAACCTCGCTGAGGCCTGGGAAGAGAAAACACATCCACGGAGCAGGAGGAGTGAGAGGAGTGGGAAACGCAGGAGAAAAGGCGTAGCTGCAAGTTGGGAAGTTATTAATGATGAATCCTTTGATAGTGGAACCCCGGTTCATGGAAACGAAGCAGCTCTGCCTTGGGATTCCTAAGCAAGTTTTAAGGATTTTACCTCTCTGCCCTTTTAAGAGGACAACTAATCTGAATGCAATGAGCTGGATATAGAAGCACTTCCATAAAACATGAATCGGTCAATGATTAAGTTTTCTTTGCCATGTATTCACAAAGCTAATGGAGACACGTCTTTCAACAGTGATAATTAAACTGAAAACATCCTTAAAATGTACTCTTAAGTGACTCATTTGGTAAAGTTATTGTAAGGGGACATAGTAACTTAGAAAAGGAGAATAATGGACACGTACCATATTGCACAAGGCTCTTAATGAACTCTCCTGTGGATTGCAAAACTGTTTTGAACTGACCACACTTAAAAATCAATGTATAGAATACAGAAACATTGCAGGCTGCAGTCAGGGTGCACAGATTCTAATTAAGATTCAACATAGGTATTTCTGACAATATTTCTACATTTATCATTATAATCTATATGAGAAAATACACCCTGTGAATCCCTCAAATGTGCATATTAACTAATACAGTGCCTGCCCCCAACTTGTAATCCCAAGAAGTTGACTGAACAAGAAGGTCTCCGACTCTGTTGTTGGTAGAAGAACTGAACTGCAGACTTGGGGGCTGATATGCCCAGACAGGGCTGCCCAAACCTGTCAGATACCATTGCTGCCAAACAACAGAGGTAAAGTCCAAGTCAGGTTTGAATGGTCCAAAACTGTCCAAAATTAAACCAAGTACAGAAGTTTTATCACACAGCAGAACTTCAGGTGATGAAGCTCATCTAGATTCTAGAACATTCTCCCTTATCTCAGTGGTCACCATGACAAGTGACCTAATTTGCTAACCCAATTCATGCTCTTTTCTCATCGAAATCACACCAATAATTTCTCAGAGGTGGACATTTTAATCTTGAACAGAAATTAAGGGAATTCTTCCTCTGGAAACCAGCAATTAATAACATATGATTAAGTCAAAATGCTGAAGAGATGTATGTGGATCTAGAGGACTCCACGTGTTTGAAGGACACCAGAACTTTGCCATTCTCCTGTCCAAAGGCGATGCTGTAAAACCTTAAAGGTGTCTTTTCGTGCCTTTAGGAAATTACTGATTTTCTGTTTTGTTGTTGTTACATATTCATAGATTCATCAACAGCACATATCATGTAATGTGCAACTGGGAACTGTAAAATAAGTCCCAAAGAAATGTCTCCTCTAAGTGTAGCACAATATATTTACTGCTGCTGTTGGGAAAGTTGCCTCCCATTGTCACCAGCAGCCCGTCTGCAGTCCCTATACTTGTCACTTTATTTCCTCCAAGCAGTTGGAGTTTTAGCTCTCTCTGGAGTTTTATGAGTTTTATGAGCTCTCTGATCCATTCCCAGCCACTGAGGGATTGTGTGCTTTGGTTTTTTGGCTGCATGAGGGGCTGTGATACAATAGAGAATGGGGACACCCAACAAGAAAAAACATTCCTCCTCTCACAGTGTACCTTTAATTTTTCAGACCAAGACAGACAAGAAATATGGAATTACTCTGTCATCTAATACACCATGTGCTCCTAACTCACCTTTCCAATGCTATTGAGAAGGCTGCACTGGTGGATTTTTGAAACTAAGTTGAAGAGAGTGGACTGAAAGAGGTTTTTCTCTGCTCAGCTAAATTTGCAAAAGAGTTAGTAACAAAAACCTGTAAAGATGCAGTGCTGAGTTTTGTTCTTCGTCAGTTTAGATGAGACTTCACATGAACAGGACCAGAGGTAGTGCTTAATATTAATGGAAGGAATTCTTTACTCATGGAAGAAATCC